AAGCAAAATAAACAATAATTAGTTAATAGAATAAGAATTAAGCAAATAAAACAATAATTAATAAATAAAAAAAATAATGAAACTTGTCTTTATATTAATACTTACTAATCATATGCTGGATGACCCAAGTGAAAAATGACATCTTCATGAAATTTTTAAAATATGGGCCATACTCTCCAGATAGTGGCTGAAAATTGATTCCACTATCTACTATAATTTGGTTGAAGTTTTTTTCTTCTTCTATTTGTAATTCAATTTCTTCTGTAACTGACAACTGATCACTGCTACTAGACATATCTGAAGTTATAAAAAAATTGTATTCAAGATCATTGGTATATTGACTTTTATCAGAGAGCAAACTTTTGCTATCAGAAAAATTTTCTTTTAAACTTTCACCACTATCGTCTCTGTTTATTGAAACTTGTGAAGCTTGGCTAACAGTATTTTGCAAACATTCTCTTCTTTGTAAGGTTTCGGAAATATTATAAGTGATATGTTTTTGTAATGCAACTTTTTGAGTTGCTTTATTAGTTCGAACTCATTTCATTTTATTATGATTACTATAGTATTCAATTTTTGACTGATGATATTCAAGGAAAAAAAAAATCAAAAAAGACATGAAGTTTAATGAAGATCCACTTATATAGATTTTTATGGCAGTGTTTAAATTTAATCAATTCCAAACCTAATTTTATAAACTTGGTAAAATATCTTTTATTTATGAAATTCACTAGCCAAGTTTTGGTCAACATAGTACATATTTTTCATTTGCATATGATTTTGTTCTTTCTATTTATATTGATCATATGAGTCAAATTTAAATATATATATGTATAATATACAACTGCGAATTAATTTTTTTCATATAAATTCTTTCTTATATATACACAAATAAGATAAATACCATCAATAACTTGAACATTTTTGTTCTTTAATAAAGTCCTTGACAGGAGTATCCTTATGTTAAGAAAGCCGAAAAACAGGATCTTGTGTAACAAACCAAACATGAAAAATATAAGAAATTGTAAAAAAAATGTAAATAACACAAAAATTTACTATGATGACTAACTTTTGACCTCTAAG